AAAACGCAGTGAATTAAACTTATCCCTTTTAGTTTATTAATTTGATGTACGAGGAAGGACCGTCTTTACTCTCCTGATTTCTCCAGGAGACTGAAGACTATTCACAAAGACGAAAGCAAAAACGTCACCTAAAGACAAAGAGCACTCTGTTCTATATACATATGAAATCATTGTTTATCTAATGGTACTCTGGCGAGACTCTCGGCGTCGATTCGTTTTTGTAACTTATATGCTAGAAGGAAAAACTTCTGAGTATTCAAAAGAGAGAAAATAATCCAATACTTTGAAGTGGAAAAATATTTTATTAATTTTTGCATTTAATTTATTATTAATTTCATTTATTAATTTGCATTTATTAATCCTATATGACATTAATATTAATTGTAAACGAAAAAAAATAAATTTTTAGTATAAATAGAAGTATGCGTCGCTTATATTTTTCCGTATCAGTCATTATGAACACTAACTGTTTTCTGTTACATTGCAAACAATTGTTAGAATAGCGGCAATGCCTGGGATATCTAGAAAGTCATCCGCCTTATCGACTTATCCACGACTCATTCTGCGTTCAGAGCGATGAATAATTCGTTTACTTGAAACCAAAATATCTCGAAAACGAAGGCCCATTGTGAAGAAACGTATCACGGTTTTTTGATACTGGGTATGTACTATAACTTCTATCTACAATCGTTTCAAAAGCGATTTCCGCTACGGTAAGGTCCACTTGTGAGTCGAGATACAGTAAATTCTCTCCAATTGTCACTCAACATGTAAACAGAAATGGACAATTTGGGAACAGGAGAAGCGATTATTCGAGTCTCGCGGCTCATTTTTATAGTTGTTGAATGTCAGCGACTATAAAAACGAATCTCGAGGCTCGAGATTTCGTATTAGACTATAGATCTCTATGTAAAATAATAAAGGAAACGGAAATTCTCCCTAATCGACGCTCAGATTGTGCACGAAAATGGATAATTTGAAAAGTGGAGATACGATTATTCGAGCTTTGTGGCTCGTTTTTATAGTCGCCGATTGTCACCAACTATAAAATCGAGCCGCAAGACTCGAATAATCGTATGTCCTGTTCCGAAATTGTCAATTTTTCTGCGCAATCTGAGCGACAACTAGGGAGAATTTACTGTAAATCAACGGGATATGCGAAGCCTGATGATCGCCCAAGTGTAATTAACCTTCAACGGTGACTCATACGTCGCTTTAACCATTTTAGCGTCGGGAATTAACCCTTAAACGCATGACTTTTTGTTTTGAATTTTAATAAATCGTTTTTTATAGGAATGTAGTCATAGGTTACGTAAAAAATGAATAAAAAAATCTAGGTAATAATATTGAGTATTTATTCTGAAAAAAAGTTGTATGTAGACTTTTGGCAACAATATGCGTTTATTACTAAAATTATTGTAGACGTAAACAAATGGTTATGCATTTATATTATCTATTAAATAAAATTTTCAAATACAACATCGAATTCGTCAACATCATTCATAGCTTACCTGACAACAGATGAGAAGTAATTTTTTTTTCAATTAGATAAATCACTCCTTTATAGGAAACTCGAAAAAAGAAAATATCTCTCCAAGTAACACATTGAAGATTATCACCCACCACATTCAAATGTCAAAAAACATATAACTTACTCGCCAAAAGTAATGTCAAGTCTTTTATTTCACACATGGTCTATCGTCTATTGTTATCAACGTGTGTTCGGAAACGCACATACTCAGGTTTTTGAATAAAATTAAGTGGAACTGGAATGTGGACAATTGGCAACAATATGCATTTAAGGGTTAAAATCACTTTCCCTAACAACGATGCATCTAGACACAGTGTGGGTCTAGAAGGGTTAAACGTGTTCAACTACAGAACTGGTAACTGCGACGCGCCACTGTTTTGCTCGGCAGCCAGAAACTCGCGAAATAAAGGATGAAGAATCGGCGGTGGTAAAATTAGCGTTAAGAATTTCTTTTAAATTTATTCGCACACGGCTCGGCAGGCTTTTTCTGCAGAATATTAACCAAGCACTGGTTCGAAGAGCGTCTCGAGTGGGATGCATTCGGGGACCACTCGTCCCTGAAGAGCGCATCGGCGAGCGCGGCCTCGCGCTCTCACCCCCGGACGGTGAATTAAACGGCCGGTAAGAACGTGTCGCGTATAATTAGCGCGATTCATAACCCGTTTATTGGCGGCAGATGTAGGAATACTCGACGGCACTCGCCGCAGTTGGCCGGCCGCCAAGCCGCGAGCGACGAGTACCCGCGTTCCGCGGAGGAGAAACGAAAAAACCGTCGCGCGGACAAAGCGATCGTAGCAGAGTAACGAGGTGAAAGATGCATCGCGATTCCACCCTCGTTTCACGCAGACGCACGCAGCCAGCAGCTGGCGCACTTTAATTTCACCGACACTTCCCACGATCGCGGAGCTTTCCGTTTCCGAGTCGGAAGCGGAATCGTTCGCGCGCCGGTATTCGAGAGAATTGGAGCTCCGTCGGCGATACAGCCAGCGAGTGACCCGCCGACCCTACCTTTTTCAATTATGCCTGCCAGCTTTTATCGATGGAATAAAAAAGTTCTTTTTAAATAACTCGACGGTTTATCTATCGGAAATCTTTTTACGTGCTGCACAGCTAAACGAAGCTTGGAAATTCTCCATTAACACCGAACCTACCAGCGCTAACGGCGACCAACCTGTGCTGCTTCGGAATAACGATAACACGGGATTTATTTAGAATCTTTTGTTATTATTATCACAGCGTAACGGTTACGTTAGGAAATCGATTCAAACATTTCCCGCGAATGAGATTTCGTAACTTGGAAGCTATTAGAAGCAGAAATGTGAAAGCAGCCATTTTAATCGACACGGTAGTTTTAACACTTTATCGACCGCTAGCCTATTTATCGGCTTTTCGATTGCCAATGTTTATCGATCGCTAGCCTATCAATCGGCTTTTCGATTGCCAATGCTTATCGACCGATAGCCTATTAATCGACTTTTAGCTATCGACGGTTTTCGCTTCTTTACTGTTTTGTTAGTAGCTGACCTCCTGTATGCTGACCTCCCCATATCCTTATGAATTATAATTATAATAATTATATTATTATTTATTATTATTTTTAAAGGAATAAGCACAACACAATGAATAGCGAAAATTTAGCCGGTACTGGGAGCAAATGCGCGCGCGACTAAGCCAGTCCCTACTGAGTGGCAGCCTCAACCACGACCGGACGATAAAGTGTTAACGTTAACCCTTAAATGCATGAATTAATGAATTTTATTTAAAAAATAGGGTTATAATTTTTCAAATGAGTGGAAATCGGGAAAAATATTTAAAAAAATTATAAGTCATATCTTATAGGGTTTTTATTGAAAAATATTAATGATTCATTTTTGGTACACTATGCAAAATGGACATAAAAATTCGTTAGTTAGTATGACATATCTATAACAAAATTATAAACCACATGCATACCACACCAAAACAAAACCAACAAACCAATAAAGGAAGCATAGTACTAAATACATGTCGTAATTATTACCATTAGTGCATGTTGTCCCATTTTTGCATCAACGCGAAATAAGCCCTCCATACACATGATAGTTACGGAATATAGACAAAAGTACTAGCAAATTAATAAATAAGAGC